TCACAGCCTTCACGACGGGGCCTTCCGTTTTTTCCCGATCTCCATGCCGAGGTGTCAAGATCGTGGGAAAAACCGTATTCTTCCCGTATATATAGCCCCACAGTCTCGATTTATTCCAACATCGTGGGGCTGAATGAGAAGGGATATGGGGCGATGCCAATGGTGGAGCAGACGCTTGCGAGCTTTCTCTCCCCATCTTCAGCATCATCCCTGAAGGCCCCGAAGCTTCCCACCAGGCCCGTTAGGCTGACATCTAGTTTGGTTGGGAAAGCTTATACGGCGGCAGGTCAGGCTGGCACGTTTGCACACCATGGCGGTGTTACAAGCATACCAGGCTGACCTGCTCAGGGACCTGGATGACAGGGAGGAGGAGGAATCCGACGTGATAGCCGAACTGCGTCGGGCCACAGATTTGTCCCTTCGAGCCACCAAAGAAACGGCCAGAGCCATCGGCCGTTCAATGGCAGCAATGGTGGCCACGGAGCGGCATCTGTGTTTGAATCTGTCCGATATGCAAGATAAGGACAGATTCTTATGGTTACATACGTAACCTAGAGACGTTTTCACTTAAGCCTAGCTAACACTATAGGATTTTTAGCCCGATTTAGCCCCAATTTCCCCCTCCTGAGAATCGGAGCAAAAATCTTGTCGAGCCCCTCGATCGGTCCCGATGTTCGGCGCGGATTATCTGGTAATGTGAGGCGTTCACCGATCGAATGTTGCACATGGGTGGGGCTGCTGAGCGGGAGCAGCCCAAGCCATCAAGCTCCTCATACCGCCAGTCTCAAAAACAGAGTGTTGCAACCCGCACCCCTCTGCAGAAAGAATGGGGGTCGGGGCGACGCTCTCAGTCGGGGTCTTCTAGACCGAAGACGGATCTGCGGACCATTATTTTGTCAAAGAGGACCTCGACTAAGCGGTCCTGACGCCACCATCGTCAGGCCCCTGAGGGCAGCCCCACCTGGGGAGGAAAGGATAACACCTCTCGATCGGTCCCGATGTTCGGCGCGGATTATCTGGTAATGTGAGGTGTTCACCAATCGAATCTTGCACCTCCCGATCAAACATGTTTGATATTTAGGATTTAAATCTGGATGATGACGGCTATATGATTACGTCAGTACTTTCACAATAGCCAATGCGTGACTGCAAAACAGCTGCTGTACGGCCCCGTTGGATAGTGGAGACGGAGGAAACTGCTTCTTGAGGTTTTATAGTAACACGACTGTTTGTATAATGTGTTGAAAACGTATCACAACCGTAAGGAGAAAGAGAAGAACTGGAGTGAAATCGCCTCAGTTTTGAATGTACCGGGTGAGTGTAGAAAGCAGCTAGCACGCTAGCTAACATATGTAAACATCACTGAAATATCAATGACGATCTGCTGCGCGAGATCACGTGAGGCGCTCCCTCTGGCATTATAATCTTAATAATATCTTGTAGTGTGTGATGCGCCACGATGTTAAAATCTTGTAGTGTGTGCATGTTTAAGATTTGAGGGAAGATAATCTGCAAAGATTCTCCTTATGTGTGTGCTGCAACCAGATTTCATAATCGGTTAGGATTTTAAAACTCCTGTAGTTTGAGCCCGGCTGTATTTGTGTTACTAAAAAAATATCAGGTTTGCATTTCATCTACCAAAATATTTCTTTCTGTAAATAACTAAAGGTATTGTTTATGGTCTGGTAAGAGAAACCAGAACCTCAGTCAATACATCACGATTCCCATCTCTAAATACCAGGTGGTATAAAGGAATGATTCAACAGGCTTTATGAAATTATGAGACTCGTACAGATACTTCATGTGGAATCTCAGCAAAGTTTATATAAACACACTGATTATCCAACCTGGTAGTCATGGAAACTGCTGATCAGTTCTGGGGTGAATGCAAACTCTGTGGTTACATGTTAGACACACTCATAAGCTTATTAGCAAATAATATATAAGCAAATTAAAAGTGTCGGTTTCTTCTTGTATCAATTTCAAATCTAAAAACCAGTTTGTCTGTTTTTAATGTTTTTAGTGAATTTTAAGTAAATATTGTTATACGAATCTGTTTGATTTAATTCATTATATCTAGGTAAATTTGTTGTATATGTAAAAATCTGTTTTATACACAAATTGCTTTATTTATATGTAAATCGGCCACTGACCACACTGATTGACTACTAATGATAAGTAAACCATATGAATTATAATTATATAAGTGGTTCAAATAAATAATTTATGTCTCTCTTAAATGCTGTCTTTCTCTTTTCATGTCTTTTCCAATCTCTGTTGTTGTGCATTAGCAAGCCATAGATGCTTTTAATGCCCCAAACAGCAGTAAATTTATCTTCATGCTGAGCACACGGGCAGGTGGGCTGGGGATTAATTTGGCTACAGCTGATGTGGTGATTCTCTACGACTCGGACTGGAACCCACAGGTGGACCTGCAGGCCATGGTGAGAAACACTGCACATACACACACAAAACTACAAAATCAAGCTCACTAAACTTTATGATTGTGAGCCTCAGAGAGATGCCAGCTTTCTTTATGATTGTTGTCTTAAATGGTTGTTGTGCCGTGTACTGTATTTTAGGACCGTGCTCACCGTATTGGACAGAGGAAACCAGTAAAAGTGTTCAGGTTGATCACAGACAACACAGTGGAGGAGAGAATTGTGGAGAGAGCGGAGATGAAACTTCGTCTGGACTCTATAGTGATTCAGCAGGGTATGAGCACACTAGGGGTAAAACAGTTCCTGCAAAGAAAAAAATTATTCCTCACGGTTCAGTTCTCATGTCTAATGACACCTCTAAAAATATAAATATTAAAACTATGAATTTTAAGGTCTCTATTTTCCAAAAGTAATTATAGTAATTCTCTCTCTGTGATTTGGTGTATGATGTTGAAACACTACTGTTCAAAAGACACTACTGCTTAAAAGTTTTTATTTGGAATTTAAAAGATTGGTGCATTAAGAACTAATTGCAGTGGGGAAAAAATGGTTAGTAGTGTATGTAGTTACCTAACCAATATGTGACACAAACTGAACTGTGAAAAATGTATGTGTATATATATATATATGTATACAAAAGAAAGTTAAGTAGCCTTTGTGTCAGTCTTATGACCTGTTATGTGCTGTTATTTGTGCTCTTACAGGACGGCTGATTGACCAGCAGAATAAAATTGGGAAGGATGAAATGCTACAAATGATTCGACATGGAGCAACACACGTGTTTGCCTCTAAAGACAGTGAACTAACAGATGAAGACATCAACACCATTCTGGAAAGAGGCGCCAAGAAGGTGAGTGGACACAAACACAGACTAGACTGAAAACTGTGAAGTTGGTTTTATTTTACTGGTAAACTTCATAATAGCTTCAGATTCAAGTTCCGAAAACATTCATATTCAAACTTGGATGAATAAAAACCCATCAGATTTCCTTCACAATCACATTATGCGAATTTTTCACTCTTACACTCCAGTTGATTCTATATAACCCTGTTGAGCTCTCTTTGATGGCTGTTTTCCCACTCAGACGGCGGAGATGAACGAACGCTTGAAGAACCTAGGTGAGAGCTCGCTGAGGAACTTCACCATGGACACAGGTTGCACCGAGACCAGCCTTTACAACTTTGAGGGAGAGGATTACAGAGAGAAACAAAAAGTTAGTGTGGAGGTTTATCGGGTGGGAATCGAGTCATACTTGTGTATTAAGCAGCACTGAGGTGCATCTGAGTCTATCGGTGTGCATTTGGCAGCTTTTTAAGCTTTGTACTTTTATGTTACAGACTGAGAGTTTATGTGAAGCTGAAAGCGTGTGTGTGTGTGTTTAAGTGTGTGTTAAAGAATTCTTTGTGTTGTGCAGCTAAGTTTGATCGAATGGATCGAGCCTCCTAAGAGAGAAAGGAAGGCCAATTACGCTGTAGATGCTTACTTCAGAGAAGCACTGCGAGTCAGCGAACCAAGAGCCCCAAAGGTAACATGTGCATGGTTTAGACACTCTGAAATGATTTGTCAGCGCTACTTATGACTGCATACTCTAATGCAAGTGCCTTTTCAGGGTGTCCGCGGGTCCTTAAAAAGTCTTAAAATGTCTTAAATAACGTTTTCCTAATATAAGGCCTTAAAAA